TACTTGTGTTTATTTTTAAAGGGATATTATTTTGTAAAAAGAAAAAAAAAAACAAATAGACGTTTGAGCTTTACGTCATGTTGCAACGTTATCCACTCATCGAAAACAGACCTGGAGTGTTGCCTGGATTATTTCATGAATGTTTGAGAAATCCTTTAATCTCCATGGCAACCATTCAGTTGTGCAAAACGCCTGGGTGGACTTAGCCCCACCTTCGAGCCGCAGCTCCTCCCTAGAGCTGCAGCTTCCAAGTAGACCCGTCACAATAACACATTTTGCTGGATGGTAAATTGTCCCAGAAATTATTGGGATAAATGAAAATGTTGTTGTTTTGAGACCATTTTGAAGTGATACAATAGTGATGGAATAAAAATGCAAACTTAAATTCTAATGAACACTTAACACTGGAACTGGAAGACATTTTAAATATACAAAATAATAATAATAATAAAAACATGAATTATGAAGTCTGTAAACAAAACTGCCCTTCAAAAAACAGGTTCAGTTGAGACCAAAACACCAAACTGAAAACTTTTGTCATCCAGTTTTTGGTAGAAAGAGAGAAAAGGGAAAAATCATAAATCCTGCAAATGTAAATTATTGAGCTCATTTTAATTTATCATGCAATTGATTAATTGTTTATTGTGACAGGTCTATCTCCGAACTTCAGAGCTGTGTCTCCTCCACTCAGCTCCTTCAGACTAGCCAACAGCAATTAGCAAACACCTGGTATAACTGCACATCTGCTGAACTGATTATACAAGCTGCTTCTCAGTGGTAAAAACATTAAGAGTGTGACTTTTTAAAAAGACAGAGGCCCAATTTCAAGGCATTAAATTACACAGTGAAATTTCTCTCACGTCATATTTAATATGTAAAACATTTGTGTAACAACTGAAGGTAACAGTCACTTGACTGTGCTATAAAATGGCGCTAATTTTTGTTACTTGCTTCTGAATTGGTGATTGTATGTTGTTTTCATGACTTTGTATTTTTGGGGTTTTATAAAATATAAGCTACACAAATAAACTTGATTGATAGATTGATAGTACTGCCTCTTTAAATAATTTGAATCCGATATGAGGAGACTTGTATTTGACCTGTGTTGTGACAAAACCTGCATTCCGTTGTTGTTGTTTTTGTAAAACTCAACATTCCAGTTGGTTACGTTTAAACAACTCTCTGTTTAAAGCATAATCTGGGTGTGGCCGGCCTGCCGCGGCTTGCAGGCTTGCCTCCAGAATCCGTGTATTATCAGGACTCACACGTTCCCCGGACGGGCCCAGATCAGTATCAATGGCTCCATCCTGAGCTGGATTACAGATGAACATCTCTTGTTCCTGCTGCTTTGACCTGCTGATTTCAGCTACAACCCGGCTGCCAGTCGCTCCACACCCAGGAACTGCCAGAGAATGCAGATTTCAGAGCCTCAGAAACATGCACGCTGTCGCTTCCCTGACAGATGGTCATTTGCTCGAGGCCACAGCAATATCTGTCAAGAAATAACAGGAATACTAACCAGCAAGGAACTTTGATTTATTTTCCAGTGGCAAACCAAACCAAACCTCCAGCATGTTTGTCTCCTATTAATGCTGTATTATTGGCATGATCTGTCCTAGTGGTACTGTTGCTTCCTGAGCAACCTGTTATTTCTATTGTCGTTTAGAGGATGCCATAAACTCTCATTATGTCAGGTATTTAAGTGGTAAGATTGGGTGCTTTGCTATTTTTAACATGGTTTATTACACAGACAGAGGATCTGCGTAACAACCATAACAAACCACAACAAATCTGTGGGTTTGCCTACAGAAAATGTAACAAAATATGTAAAGAAATACTGAATTTTAAATTCACCTCACTTTTACTTACTATTAAACAATTATTACATCCAGTTAGCATAAAAGCTGCCTGATACTTTTTGATTTAGCTGCAAATGTTTTATCAGGTAACATATTATAACTTTATTAATCTGTGTTGAATATATTGCCTACCAAGATGGCGCGGATCACTTCCAGGAGTGATCGTAGCAGGGCGGCGTTTGCACAATGCATACTGGCTTCGAGACCAACAAAAAGAAAATAGATCTCATGTAGTTCACTACTGAGTAAACATGAAGACTGAGGTTTGTGGCCTGAAATCCATGGATGCATACAATCAACGATTAAACGGATTTGTAAAAGATGTACGAACTCTTCGGGTGACATGTCTCTTAGCTTGCATGTAAAAGCTACATTAGCTGAGCTAATTTTGCCAGTTCAGCAGTAAATATCACTGATATTTATCTTAGTATTACACAGAAGTGGGTAGAGTTACTCAAAACATTAGATAGGAACGTGCCAAGTGTCATGATCCGTGTTTCTGTGTGTTTATTTTTGAGATTTTCTGTGTTCAGTCCCGTTTTCCTGTAGTCTCTGTCCTGTCCTCCCTGTTGATTGTTTCCCAGGTGTGTCTCATCCCCTTGATTACCCCGTGTGTATTTAAACCCACCTGTTGTCCTTGTCTCTCGTCGGATCCTTGTCGTATGTCATGTGATGCCTGTTTCTCGGTGCTGGTCCCCGTTGTTCTGTACCTTGGAAATCATCATTAAATCCATCATTTTCACTTCATCCTGGGTCTACCTGCATCCTTATCCTCACCACAACAAACCACCCACATGACACCAAGAGCTTTTTTTACCCGGTCTGTCACGAGAGGCCCCAAATTTGGGTCCTCTCGTGACAGAGGTGTCAAACTCCAGTCCTCAAGGGCCTCTGTCCTGCAACTTTTAGATGTGCCTCTGCTGCACCACACCTGAAAAGAATAATTAGGTCATTAGCAAGGCTCAGGAGAACCGATCTACACAGGGAGGAGGTAATTAAGCCATTTCATTCCACTGGTTTTTACCTGTGGCACATCTAAACACTGCAGGACAGCGGCCCTTGAGGACTGGAGTTTGACATCCCCGTCATTGTGAATGACAACCTGAGACCAACAGGTTAAGCTTGTAGTTTGCTTATTGTTGCCATAGCAACTCGATTGCAAGATGGCTGTCAGTTAGGCTACGTTCACACTGCAGCCTGAAGGGACCCTATTCCAATTTGTTTTTATATATTTTTTGTCTTGATGCGACCTGAATCAGATCTTTTGAAAGCCTGAACAACACAGATTGGATTTTTTCGAATTCTAACCAGACTACTTGGATATTGGGGTCGTCTATGTAACCTGAATCTGAACATCCAGGTTGCATTCATCCGACCCGAATGATTCTCGACAAACATCACTGTTTTACGCCCTGATACGAGCAAACAGGAAGAGAAACAGCAACCATGGCGGACTATAATAAGGATTAAGTTGTTAATGCGCTGGTTCTGGTTGGATAACAAGTTTAAAATAGTAAGATATGCTCCATCGTTAGCATCCATGTTTACTTCTGCTAACAATGAGCACTACTTCTTTTTTATAGCAAAAAAACAATGAGCATGCTCTCTATGTGTGACATTACTGCCGGAAAACTTTCAGGTTGGTTTCAGTTCACAACGGGGATCACATAAAAGTCGCAACCACGCAGAAAAATAAATAAATAAATAAATAAAAAATCGGGTTTGGTTCACTTCAGGCTGCAGTGTGAACGTAGATTTACAAAGTTCACGAAAGTGTGACATCACTTGAGATGTATGTATTCTTATACTGATCTGTTCTTCAACACTCCAATCTGCTCAGTTGCACCAAAACCAAACCTGACAGATTTCATGACACCTACACGCTGCGACTTCAAATCAGTCCAGCTAACCGGCTGCGGAGAAAGAGGGACGAGGAAGCAGAGACAGAGGGCTTCATGCTCACAGCCCGGGAATTATCACATCAGACTACTGCTCCAGATTGTTCTGACAGGCCCAGGGCCAAACAATTAAAGGCTGGTGTGGACAGAAACAACTCTGCCCGTTTCAACTTGGCAACAGCTACTCGGTATTGCATCAAAATGTTTAATCACACAACCAGGGAAGGAAGGAAGGAAGAGTGGATATTGTCCTGGAAACCTCATCGACATACTCAGAGCATTTCTTCATGATGCAAAAACACTTTGATCCTCTGTGGTTTTGGCTTTGTGGAGGATCTGGACTTTATTTCATGAAATTAACGCTGCTAGAACTAATCTGAATATCGGCAGTCATTTGCATGATGTATACTGTTCCCTTGTAGAAAATTGTAAGCAAAAAGTCATTTGTGAGACACATGAGAACACACTGGGGAACCGAATTATTGTTTTTCAGCTGCACTTTCCACAGAAAAAATTATCATTTTAACCTCAGCAGTGCAGATGTGAATTGTTCTTATAGCAATAAGCAGCAATATGACGAGATTAGCATCACCGTTCATCATGAATGGTGATGTATGCAAGATTAAAAGTTGAAAAATCAGAAAATAGCTGCCAAAGTTAAAGGGGAAAAAGTAAATCCTAACTCATGTGTTAAACAATTTCATTGTTTTTGTTATTAAATCAACTTCATGAACTTTAATTTCTGAGTTTAAACCAAAACAATTTTCTTGTGACTTAAACTGCATTTCCCAGGCAGCAGATGGACTTTCATTTTCAAGTTAAACCACCTGTAAATGTTTTACAGTGTGAGGGGTCAAAGGGTTGCCTACATTTTTGCCAAGAAATCATCTGATAGGCCAACTAACCTTTAATTGGGCTCTTTTATATTCAGATTTGAATATATTCAAAGGAAAAACAGAAAACTGGAAATTTAAAATTCAGTTTTTCGTTAATTTAAAATATTTTAGATCCCAGAGACGACGGTTTATTAAACGTTTTAACAGCAGCTGTACCTCTAATCTGTTGTACTGATTCTTCCTTAGAAACGATTTTAACAAAACTAAGAAGTGGAAAGTTTCTATAAAAACATTAAAGCAGAGAGAAAACATGAAGGGAGGAAACACTACAGAGAAACTGTTGTGTTTGTGATTTTCACATTTCCTGCCTTTAGAACTGGAATGTTCCGTCACCATGGCAACAACTTTCCATGCCTACAGAGAAACTGGCTGAAAACTTTAGAGATTATTTTCATGCCCAACGGCTACAGCGCTTATTTTTTAAACATATTTTTAATATAAATATAAATCTATCTTTACATTTTCAAAGTTGAGGCTCAGCGGCCATCTTTAATCAAGGTAGGTTGTCTCAGAAAGTTTTGGGGAAATTAATCAAGCTGCGCTAAAGCTAACTGACGAAAGCCTTTGTTACTGTAAAAGTCATCAACATCATCATACATCATGGATATTTAATCTACTTTATATTTGGTTCTTGGATGATTAGTAATCTAAGCGAATGTTTAGTTTCTGCAGGAGAATTAAAAGTTTTCAGTATGAAAGGCCTTTTCTGCACTGCTAACATCATTGTGGCATACAGGCACTTTGAAGGCATGTACAGCTACAGATCTGAATTGTATGGAGGAAAAGTGGCAGAAATAATAAAGAAAAATGAAAAAATATATATAAATAAGCCAGAGAACGTCACAGACTTTCCCTCCTGCCTGAGAGGAATGACAAAGACAGGAGAAGCAGTTTTTGTCCCTCCGAAGATTTCATCTGCGGAGGCAAAAATCCAGACTTCTCTTTTATTCCCTTTCATGTTGAGCTTGAGAAATAAGTATTCTAAAGATGCGAACAGGTAAACACTGAGATACATCTCATGGCTGACACCTCTGTTCACGGCTTTCTGAAGAAGTTTTGTGAAAATGTAATCTGTCACTGAAAGTTGAGACTCACAAAAATTATCTGAAAAAATGCTGCAGCTCAATAAATAAATTATAATGTGATTAAAAGGTTAATTTATTTAATTCCAGAAATGAAACTTGTGGATTATGTTGCAAAAACATAAAATCTCAGCAAGTAACAAGGTGTTATATCTTGCTGAAAAGTTACTTGTAAGTTAGTTTTGTCTTATTTCAAGTGTACAAATACTTGCTTAATTAAACTCTGTGTTTTTGCTGGACAATAAATTGTCCCAGAAGTTATTACGATTAACGATAATATTGTTGTTTTGATTTTTAAGTCACATAATGGTAATAAAGCGGAAGAAAACATTTTCAAATATCAAAATGAACATTTAACGCTGGAACCAGAAAACATTTTAAATATCCACAATAAAAAAAACAAAAAACAAAACAAATAAAATTAATCATGAAGTTGCTGTAAACAAAGTTGCCCTTTAAAAAGGACTAGTTGAGACCAGAGCTAGTTGAGAAGACTAGTTCTGAACTAGTCTTCTCAACTAGAAGACTATTTATTTGTGTTCAACAAAGTTTTTAGGAAATTTTTTTAGCATTTACTGATTTTCTGTTTCCTCTGGTTGTAAATTTAAGATGAAATAGATGCTAGTTTCACTTTTTTGGACACTATGGACATTGTTATAAAAAGACAAAAGACAAAAACAATAAATCCTGCAAATTGAAATTATTGAGCTGCTTTTAATTTATCATGTGATTAATTGATTCATTGTTTATTGCCTATTTTTGAAGTGTATTTAGTTTCAACACACACAGTGTGACATCTATCAAGTGTTGATTTCTGTAAATTCTGATAATTATACTTAATCAAAAAACCTGAAATTCCCAGATAATTAGAATATCGAGTAAGGCCAACAGAAAAAGGCAGTTTTGATGAAAAACCTTCTAATGAGCCTGAATTGATCTCAGTATGGTTTTATGTCTTCAATTGATTAATTAAACTTTACTTTATGCAGGTAATGTTGAAGAGAACCAAGGTGCTGCAATCCAGGAGAGTAGAAATCCTGTCTCTGTTTCAAAGATACACAGAAGGAATCCCTACTTTACCTGCGAGCGCTCTGCTGACGTTCCTCTGTAAGGAACAAATGGAGCTCGCAGCGAACAAAGACACGGCGGAGGATCTGATCGACAGATACGAGATCGACGAGGCAGGTGAGAGACTGAGTGAACGAGGGGGAATCTCGTCTCGTTGCTGCATCAAGAAGGTTTAAAAATTATTCTGGAAAACAGATGAATCACGACGATGGTGATTCAGTCTGCATGTAAGTTGGGACCTGACAGGTCTACAAGAGGAGAAAAGAGGATTCATCACTGGGAAAGTGGAACAGGTATTGCTAAAAGCTCGATGTGCTGCAGAGTGAGTCAGAACGTCTCATTAAAAAGCAGGAAATGTAACAGGACGTGTCTCCCAGTCGCACAGAGTCTGCAGCTGTGCAGGAACAAATGTTCATGCAAAGAACATAATTCAATCTGATCTTAAAAAGACAGAACTGAAGAAAAATCCAGAAAGAACTGGATGTTACTGGAAAACCCAACAATCCCTTTATAGTAATATAAAATAATATTTTTTTAAAGCTTTACTTATTTGTGTTAATCAAAGTTTTTAGGAAAATTTCTTAAGCAATTACTGATTTTCTGTTTCCTCTGGTTGTAAATTTAACATGAAATAGAAACTAGTTTCTCTTTTTTGGACACTATGGACACTGTTTTATTCAAATTTAAATAAATACTGTTCATAAAATAAAAAAAATTTAAAGGGGATTTTGTCAATCACAGTTTTAGTTTTTTGATTTCAGGATTTATTTGTGTATTTATTTAGTTATTTGACTATATGAACATAAAAATAAAAATAAGTCACAAAATAAAACACCATTATTATATATATAAATAAGAAAATACACAAAAACAATCTTGAAATGAACGTAAAACAGTTTAATATTTATTTAGTTTTTATTTTATGGGGACATTTATTTGTTTTCATAAACCTATTAAAACAAATAATATATTTAATAAATAATATATTTATAACAGTATTACTTCAGTACTTCAGTAATCACATGAAAGCACTTTGAATTGCCTTGTTGCTGAAAACGTGCTATAAAAATAAAAATACCTTACATTAAGTAAAGTTTCTGGATCCTCTATCCATTGAGTAACTTCACAAAACAATTTGTTTTAACCAAAAATTCACAGGACTTGGACACAAAACTGCAATTTCTTTTCAAGTTTAAGTTTCATATTGAAAGAAACCGAGTTGAAAAAATGTCTCCTTTACCTAATTTAGTTATTTTGTAGTTATTTTTTAATGAGTTATTTTAATTTTGACCTTTAAAAAACGTTTAAAGTATAAAAAAAGTTAAATATTAAATGATTGATGTTTTGATCAGTTACATTTTTTTACTCGAGTCATTTCTTGGACAGCTACATTTTACTTTAAAAATGTTGAAGTAGTGCTACTGTTGTGATTTTTGGGTACTTTACTTTTCTCTTACTTTTTTGTGAACTGATCTGTGATTGCTCGGTTGCAACATGTCTATTTTGGAGCTGGAATACTTTGACTTGAAGACGCGTGCAGCTCCAGTATTGGTAAAAAGACAAAAAGAGTCTTTGCAGCTCAGATATTCCACTTAGAACAAAATAAAGTGTTTTTCAATAAAAAATAAAATAAAAAAAAAACTCATTAGTGAAGTACTTAGCAGGCTCTGTCCTTACATGTAAAGGGGATCAGCAGTTTTTCTGCTTGGGTTTGCTGTTGCTGCTCTGTTTTATTAAATTTCCTGACCCAGAGTTCAGCCTGTTGTTTCCTCCTTGCAGCTATAGAAAACAGGTGCATGACGTTCGAAGGCTTCCTCAGATATATGGAGTCCAAAGACTGCTGCGTGTTCAACCGGACTCATAAGACGGTGTACCAGGACATGGACCAGCCTCTCACCAGCTACTTCATCTCCACGTCTCACAACACCTACCTGACCGGAGATCAGCTGGTCGGGAAGAGCCACCTGGACGCGTATGTTAGGTGGGGAGCGTTTTTATGACGCTTTGTTTTAACGAAGCATCTATCATTTCAAAATTTATAAATGAGAATGGACATTATATAAAAAGAGGGAATGACAAAACATTTCTTGGTGTAATCTGGTGAAAGCTACGGAAGATCAAAGCTGTCAAAATGTACTGCAATTCTCAGAAGAATAAACAATATTTTGTAGCAGAATAAAGCAATAAGGATAATTAAAGTATTATACAAAGAATACACAAACCCACAAGTACAAGTAGCTAAAATGATTGATTCTTAACAACTTATGTTTTTAGTGTACATGTTTAAATGTATGTTGTTTTTAATTTATTGTATTGATTTGCTCATATAGAATCTAAAAATACAAGGTGCCTATACAGAAAGAGCGCTGAAATCTACAGTTTTTTTTATTTGTAAGTCGATCCTGAACCTGCAGAGCTGCACGTTTGGTTTCCGGACACTGAATATCATCCTTCTCGTCTCACTGACCTACTCATGTGCTGAGCCAGACAGCAAATCTGCTGTGGATACCTCTGTGGCACAATGAGAGCGATTACAAAGCAGCTGACAGCAGCAAGAGTTCAGTATTTATGGATCCGGCGAACGGCTGAATGCCCCGGCCAGCTGGTAGAAACTAACCCATTCAGCCCCAGCAGCCTTCAAGCTCTGCTCTTGGCCTGATAACTAAATGTTTATCTGCAAGAAAAACAGGACTACAGCTGCAGAAGGCTGCTGATTGGAGACTCAGCAAGGAAATAAAAAAAAAGCTTAGATTCACTGTTTGGAGAGTGAACGCAACTGAACTGAGGCACAAAGTTAAAACTACACTGAAAACGATCACATTAGACTTTCTACGTGTTTTATATGGATTTTATGTGAAGTGAATCTAAAACACTGTTTTCCAATTTTCTTCATATTCTCAGTTCATAACTGCAATTATCAAGGAAAACGTCTTCAACTGAAACTTTAACCTGCAAGTCGTTCAAGGAAAAATGGTGCAAAATGCATTCAAGAATTTTATTTTATTTTATTTTGCATTGATTATTACATAATGCGGTTTTATGTACATTTTAAAGTCTGATTTTGTTACGTTACTCCTATAGAGTGCAGCGATTGCAGATCTTTAAAAAGCCTGACCTGCTGATTCCAATTTGGCCGATACCGATTGTTTTTGGTATAGATGTTGCTAAATATAGCAAGAAAGTCACTGAGTTGGTAACAGTGGAGGGACTATTGCTAACTGAAAACATGCAGAAATTACCTGGTGGGTCAGTCAAACCTCTCTGATGGGAGAGCAGAAGAGGACAGAGGTTGATTTTTAGACCTTTGTTGATGCAGATAAAATCAGAATCACATGTAAGTATCGGCTGATCATCGATCTCCCAAAATTAAGGAAATCGTGTAACCCTGATTATTACTTATTGCATCGTTACACTGATTAGAGTGAATATTTAACTTGCACGAGGGTTGCATCAATTCATCGGTACGAGATTGGTGATCAGTTGATCTTATACCCTGATTTCATCTGCCTCTGTCCTCTTCTGTTCTTCTGTGAGAAGTTTGACTGACAGACCGGCCCATCAGCTCACCTCTGCGGTTAACGAGTCGCCCACCTCAGCTATCTGAGTACGATAATGCTAATAGCTAGTAAGAAAATGGGTAAAAGTGGACCCTCCGTCACCAACAAAGGATTGGAATAATAGAATAAATCTACATCATGGAAACACTGACATGTCATCTGAGACGTCAGCAAACACAAATGGAAGAAAAGTGGACAAAATGGACACTACTCAAGACAAAAGACAGCGATGAAAAATAGAGAAAGGACTGGACAAACTGGATGGGAGAAAAGGTCTGATAGAACAACAGCTCCCATCAAAAGTTTCACGTTATATAATGTTGAATGTGAATTTTCATGTATGTTTTATATGTAAACAAATGTGGAAGATGCTTATAAACGGTTAAATGATAAAAAAAACAATAGTCATCCACCTGTTGAAGGCTCAGTGACTTTCTTGCTATATTTAACGACATTTCAGACGAAAAAAAAAAGTTAGTATTGGCCAAAACTGGAATCAGCAGGTCAGGCTTTTTAAAGATCGGTAATCACCGATCGGACAGAAAACTTGCACTATCTTGTTTTTCCCCTTACAGTATTTGCATTAACTGGACACCAGGATTTAAAAACAACATACTGACTTGCTTTGGGCTGCAGCTTTTCTACGTCGCTTCGTTAGTGATATAAGTGAAGGCAATAAACTGGCAGAAAACCAAAAGCAGTCCCTCTGGAGAGCATCTGCAGAAACAGAGATAACTCTTCACTACGCTGCCAGAAAATAGATCAAATCCATAACAATTTAAAGTGACATCATTATCATCCAGCTCAAGCAGAATGCTGCTTTCCACAAGACTTCATGTTTAAATATTCAGCAGAAGGAATACACATCTATGGTATCATTAAAAACAGAAATAGATGAGTGAGAATGTATGCATGGGAAGGAAGTAGTGAAGTTTGTGATTATGATAACCCTGCCTGAACTCAGTGTGTGTGTGTGTGTGTGTGTGTGTGTGTGTGTGTGTGTCGCAGCGCGCTCAGGAAAGGCTGCCGCTGTCTGGAGATCGACTGCTGGGATGGTCCAGACACGGAGCCCGTAGTTTACCACGGCTACACCCTCACCACCAAGATTTTATTCAAGGATGTCATCAGAACCGTGGAACAACACGCCTTCGAGGTAACGGCTCCGGCTTTTCACTCGCATTTATGCAGCGCCGAGAATCAGTTTCTGATCATACTTTTATAAGCGCGAGGAATCTCTACTGAGACGCTACTGGTCCAGCTAGCAAACACAAAGTCTGACCAAGTAGTTTTGGTCTAGTTTCTAGTGCAAGTATCTTAGTTCACTTGAAATAAGGCAACTTGCAATGGACTGCTAAGGCCATACTAATAAAAAATACATAAATTTATGAGAAATAAAGTTATAATATTACGAGAAAAGTAGAAATAATACAAGACTAATAATAATATGAGAATAAAGTCAGATTTTGAGAATAAAGCGGTAATATGACTATTATAATTCTATTCTGGTCCGAGTTTATTCTCGTAATATAACTTAATTCTTGTAATTTTATTTTTTTCCTTATACTTTGTTGTGAAAACTAACTTACAAGTAACTTTTCAGGAAGGAATAAGAGTTTGTTTTAAGTTAATGATTCATTAATATTGATGAAAAAGTACTAGCTATGTTAAACAATAACTAAATTTCTCATGTGTATAATAATTATATATGTGAAATTAGAACTTATTGATCGATAATAAGGAATAATTTACTTAAAACAAGGTCCTATATTGTGCTGAAAAGTTACTTGTAAGTTAGTTCTCGTCTTATTTCAAGTTTACGAAGATATTTGCACTAAAAACCAGACCAAAAATACTTGGTAATATTTTGTGTTTTTGCATTGAACACTGTGACTGCACACTTTCAGATTTCAGGAGTTAGATTATTGTGGACTCTTCCGTGATGTGATTTGTTAAATTAGATTTAATTTACGTCCTGACAGGTCTCTGCCTACCCGGTGATTCTGTCTCTGGAAAACCACTGCTGCGAGGAGCAGCAGGAGGTCATGGCCGAGTACCTGACCTCCATCCTGGGGGACAAGCTGTTGAAGAGTCCTTTGGATCACCCGACCACCGGAGACCTCCCAAGCCCAAATGTAAGACTGGCATAACAGTGGATGTGTTGAAGAATGTAAGGCTACGTTCACACTGCAGCCTGAAGTGACCCAATTCCATTTTTTTACCTTAATGCGACCTCTATCTGACCTTTACATGAAGTCTGAACAACACATACAAGTCGCATATATTTGGAAGTGTGAACAACCACGCAGAAAATAAACTGGATTTGGGTCACTTCAGGCGGTAGTGTGAATGTGAGCTTGATGGCAGGATGAACGCTTATGGGAATTTTTAGCTGATTTCCTGGACAGAAAAAATGTGCAGAATTAGAGGTTGTTCATTTGGCCATTGGGTTCTTTGTCTCGGAGATGAAAACATTCTCTGTTTTTGAAATGAATAAAAGCAACGGACCATGCGACAAAGCTGGTGTTAATGTTTCCCCTCAGAGAAACGAGTCCTGGTCCAACATCTGCTGCAAAGCTACTCGGAAAGAAAGGAGCCATTATCCTAAAAACGATAAATACAGAGATTACACAGGGACGAAGGGAAATGTCCTTGAGTTTATGAAAATGATAGTTTAAAGAGAAACTAAACCCAAAATAAATCTTTCTTTGCAGATAAAATGTCTAAACTGGGGCTCAGCGATAGCACATCTTTATGCTTCATTTGTTTAATTCTGCGTAATTTGCCTATAACCAATTTTGTGCTGCCCTCTTCTGGTTGAACCGTGGCAACTGCAGGCACATTGTCCTATTGGTTATGAAATTTGGTTTCACATGTTGTTGCCATAAAAGTATCCAATGACGACAACAAAAAAAATGGCGAGTCGCTTGTTTGAGAAAAAAGTTGCTCTAGGCGTTTAAAAAGTTTCTAAATTTGGAGACTGTGAAGTCGCTACAGTGTTTTACCTGAAACCTGGGCATGACTTAAACAGCTGATGTGTTCTTGGACACGCAGAGTTTATTCATGTTTATGCAGATTTTTAAAGATCTGCTACACAAGTCTGTCAATCAATTAAAACAAGCTTGGTTATTTCCATTTGCATTATTATTTCTCTAGTTTTGTCTCTTTTTCTTCTCAAAATGACCAAAGGCTTCAACCTTTGATCCAAAATGCTCCCTTTTTTTAAGGACGATGTTGTTTTGTTTATTTATTTTGGATATTTAAAATGTTTTCCAGTTTCAGTGTTAAATGTTCATCAGCTAGAAAATGGTGTCAGAACAATATTGTTTATTCTGGGACAGTTTATGGTCCAGCAGTATTTATTTTCATGATATTCTTTATTGGGTTTGAGGAGGAGCTTATAGAGGTAAGGTTTTATTTTCTTTTTGTCTCGTCAGAATCCCAATTCTTGTACAATCTTTTGAAAAACTGTTAGTACTGAAAAGAGGGGCCCTTATTTAGCTTTCCACTGGAAACACTAAGGTTAGTTTTTTAAAGATATTTTAGCTTTGCTTTGAGAATAACGCTTATCTGAAGATATATTGTTAAACAAGGGAAGTGATTTGTAGAGTTTATAGACCCTAGCATTGCCTGCATTGGTAAATCTGTCAATATGTGTCATATTTTCTCCCCAAAACTCTTGTATATTACAGTTTGCGGCAGAAAAAGATGAAGATTTAAAGCACAAATAGAGTAAATAGCAGATGTATTGGCGTGTGATTAAATGGTTTCTCTGTCTTTGTAACCCCAATCTGTGTGCAGTAAAGCGAATATGACCTGAAATGATCTCTGCTGTAGTGATTTATGCAAAAGTGGTGCTTGGCTGTTACATAATTTTTAAAAGAGGAGCATGAATTAATGATGTATATTAAGGTTTGTGTGCATAACTTTATGACTGAGTTCGTGCCATTTGTGTGGCACCGTTAGGACTTGATGTATAAGATCCTGATCAAGAACAAAAAGCTAAAGTCACAGATTAGGAGAGAGGACAAGACAGAGGACAGTGGAGATGAGGGCGAGGATGCTGATGATGAGGATGATGAGGATGATGAGGATGAGGAGGACAGCATTCAACCCAAAGCAAAGTTCTGGTCTCCAAGAAAAATGAGTTCAAAGAAGAAAGTAAGTCAGGGTTTGTTGTTTCGGTCAGTTTAAAGCAGATTCTAGTAAGCGGCATGTTTGTGTAATAAGTCAGAGTATCAGGTTCACGCTGAGAAAACTTAAAAAATAAAATTACAAGAATAATGTATGAGGAAAAAGTCATATTACGACCTTAACTCTGGTAGTATTTCTCTTTCTGGTATTATTTAAACTGTATTCTCATAATATTATTACTTTATTCTTGTGCTATTTCAGCTCTTCTCATATTATTTAAACGTTTTTCTAGTGATATGACTTCTTGTAATTTAACTTTTCCTTGTACAAGTTTTTCTCATAATAACTCTCGTATTATTTTGACGTTATTCTCATGTTATTTAAACTTTATACAGTATATCACTTCTTGTAATGCGACCATTTTTCTCATTAAATTTTTTTTCTCATGATTATTATTGTAATTTTATGATTTTATTTCCACTTTATCCTCTTGACCCTATTCTCGTACCACGGCTGTTTATCTCAGACAGATTTTTTCTTGTAATTTTATGAGTATTTTCATATCATTATGACTTTATTTCTGCAATGCAACATTATTCTCAGAATGTTATTGTTTAATTTTTTTCTCAGTATGACCACTCTGTGAAGTTTAACCTTGTCTCACTTAACGGCACTGAGCAGAGGAAGGTGAAGGTGGCCCGGGCTTTATCGGACCTGGTGATTTACACACGGTCCGTGAAGTTCATCAGCTTCAGCCACTCCAGGGACAATCAGAACTGCTATGAGAACACATCCATGGCAGAAAAGAAGGCGCGCAAGCTCATCAAGGCCTCAGGTACACAGAGAGACTCGCTGATGAGGTCATGGTGATGTCATGGTGGGGGTGATGAGGTCATGGTGATGTCATGGTGATGTCATGGTGAGGAGTGACGAGGTCATGGTGATGTCATGGTGAGGAGTGACGAGGTCATGGTGATGTCATGGTGATGTCATGGTGGGGAGGGATGAGGTCATGGTGATGAGTGATGAGGTCATGGTGATGCCATGGTGAGGAGTGATGAGGTCATGGTGAGGAGTGACGAGGTCATGGTGAGGAGTGACGAGGTCATGGTGATGTCATGGTGAGGAGTGACGAGGTCATGGTGATGTCATGGTGATGTCATGGTGAGGAGTGACGAGGTCATGGTGAGGAGTGACGAGGTCATGGTGATGTCATGGTGAGGAGTGATGAGGTCATGGTGAGGAGTGACGAGGTCATGGTGAT